TGCCTCCGACAGGAGTAAATTGAGGAACTTCTCCTGCACAAAATACAGCCCTTACTGCATCTCCTGTTGCATAAATGCAGCATCAGCTGCTTCCCAAAATATCGTAGTGTCCGGTATCAAATACAGAAACATACAAAGATATATTCATTATGGGTGTAGGAGGAGGTTCTGTATATTTTGTAATGACAGACGCTGTATTTGATACATTTGGAGATACTATATTGGGTGCACTGGTGCTGTATTTGGTGCATTATGAGGAAACGGTGACCCAGTGGTAATGTCACTGGTCTAGAAATCTTCATGTCCTGGTGAATGCTTCTGAGACATCGATCCCCTAGTGATATTATCGCTGGACTGTTAATCCAGAGACCCAGATAATGTTCTGGGGACCCAGCTCCAAATCCTGCCATGGCAAATGGTGGAATTTGAATTCAATAAGTATCTGGAATTACGAATCTAATGATGACCGTGAATCCATTGTCAGTTGTCAGGAAAAACCCACCTGATTCGTTAATCCCCTTTAGGGAGGGAAACTGCCATCCTTACCTGGTCTGGCCTACATGTGACTCCAGACCCACAGCAATGTGATTGGCTCTTAACGGCCCTCTGGGCAATTAGCCATAGCCAATAAATGCTGCCTGGCCAGTGATGCCCTCATCCCGTGAATGAATAAAGAGGAAAAAGAGACACAGGTTCAAATTCTGCTGATGCTTTTAAATTCCATTTGGTGCAGGAAGAAACTCTGCACCTGGTGTAATAGCGCAGGAGGAGATGTTGCATTTGGTGTAGCAGCAGTTTATATACCAGATGCAATAGCAGATGGTGGCACTGTGGTAATATCCCTGCGCAGGTCCCAGCTAGTGCTCTGTGGCACAGAGTCAGATCCCATCAAAATAGCTGGTGCATTTAAACTGAATTACATTGCAACCTACACAATACTGACAGGATAGGAACAGGTAAGATGTTTCCCTGGTTGGTGAGGGGAATGTTCCTGATAAATACATCTGTGGTTGAAAGCTCATCTCAGGAATAGTGACCATGAATTTCATTATTGATTGTCGTAGAAAAATTTCTCAGCAACTTCAGAGAAGAAATCCTGTTGTCCTTGCTTGGTCATGTGCCATGGCAATCTGGCTGCCCCCTGAAGTAGCCTAAAACGTCATGGAGTTACCAGAAGCATGCACATCCTATGACAAAGGTGCAATAGGAGATGCTGCATTAGTGCTATTAAAGGGTGTTTTGTTTGGTTCAGAAGGAGATGCTGCCTTCAGTGGAGTAGGAAATGCTGCGTTGGTTGCACTGTGTATTTCTGCATACAGTGTAATATGGGTTGCAGTATTGTGGGTTTTTGTGTTTGGTGCAATAGGAGATGCTGTATTTTCTGCAGCGTGGTAGACTGCATTTTGTGCGGGAGGAGACACTGCATTTTGTGCAGAAATATACATATGTTTGGTCCAGTAGGACAATCTGTATTTTGGGCAGAATGAGACGTGCTATTTATTGCAGTACACATTCCTGCGACTGTTGCGGGAGCAGGTGCTTTTAACCTGAAAGTGATGCAGTGTGTGGAGCAGTGGAACATGTTATATTTGATGTGGGAGAAGGTGCTGTAGTGGGTGTTCTATTTGGTGCAATAGGAAGAGCAATTGGTGCAGAAGGGGGCTGTATTTGGTGGGAGGTGTTTTAATTGTTTCTGTACAAGTTACTGCATTCAGAGCAGTCTTTGCCAAAGTTGATGCATTAGGAGATGCGTCCTATAGTGTAACAGGTGACACAGCCTTTGGTGCGGCTGGGCACACTGCATTTAGTGGTGTAGGAAGTGCTTAATTTGGTGGAGTTGGTGATGCTGTATTTGAGGCAGTAAAAAGTGCATTATTTGTTTCAGAAGGAGGCATTGCATTTAGTGAAAATTAAGCTACTCCACATGCTGCAGCTAGTGAGTCTGGATTTGATCCAGCAAAGACATAGCTTTTGCAAATCAGATTAGATCCAACACAATCAGAGCTAAAGTTTGACAGGTCTCCTGGTCCTAGTGGACTTGAATCCAGGGTCTTAAAAGAATTGGTTGCTGACATAGAAGATATATTGATTTTAATTTTATAGAATTGCTTAAGTCCTGAAATTGCCCTATCCAATTAAAAAAAATGATGAATGCAACTCCTCTATTCCAGAAAGGAAGGAGACAGAAAGCAGGAAATTACTGGCTATTTATGTTAAGATCATCAAAGGAAAACTACAGGATTCTATTATTGTCAGCTTGGGCTGACAAGTGGCAAGTGACATTCATGCCACACAAATGCCAGACGATGACCATCAACAATAAGAGACAATCTAACCACCGTCCCTTGACATGTTACCACTGAATCTCCCATTATCAACATCCTGGGCGTTATCAGTGACCAGAAACTCAACTAGACTCACCACATTAACACAGTGGTTACAAGAGCAGGCCAGAAGCTAGAAATACTGTGGCGAGTAACTCCCCTCCTGACTCCCCAAAGCCTGTCCACCATCGACAAGGCACAAGTCAGGAGTGTGATGGAATGCTCCCCACTTGCCTGGATGACCGCAGCTCCAACAACACTCAAGAAGCTTGACACCATTCAGGATAAAGCAGTCCGCTTGATTGGCACCACATCCACAAACGTCCCCTCCCTCCACCACCGACGCTCAGTAGCTGCAGTGTGTACTATCTTCAAGATACACTGCAGAAATTCACCAAAGATCCTCAGACAGCACCTTCCAAACTCACAACCACTTCTATCTAGAAGGTCAATGGCAGCAGATACATGGGAACACCACCACCTCCTTGTTCCCCTCCAAGACACTCACCATCCTGACTTGGAAATATTTCACCATTCCTTCACTGTCACTGGGTCAAAATCCTGGAATTCCCTCCCTCAGGGCATTGTGGGTCAACCCACAGCACATGGACTGCAGCAGTTCACGAAGGCAGCTCATCACGAAGGTTCTCAAGGACAACTAGGGACGGGCAATAAATGCTGGCCAGCCAGCGATGCCCACATCCCACAAACAAATGGGAAAAACATTAAGGAAGTTATAGTGGGGCACTTAGAAAATCTCAATGCAGTCGGACTCAAGCTGGTTCTGCAAAAGGAAGTCACATTTTGCTTATTTATCCATGTTTTTACTTAGTCATAGAAATCTGATAAGAGGAATCCTGTGAGTGCGTTGCAATTAGATTTTGAAAACTCATTAGACAAGATGCTGCATCAAAGGTTGCTATGCAAAATAAGAGCTGATGGTGTAAGGGATAACATATCGGCATGGGTAGACAATTGGTTAGCTAACAGAAAATAGAGAGTAGGTATAAATGAATCAAGTTGGCAAGATGCTGGAGAGGGTTCAGAAGAGATTTTCCAGGATGTTGCTGGGTATTGAAGGTTTGAGTTGTAAGGAAAGGCTGGGACTGGAGCGTAGGAGGTTGAAAGGCGACCTTATAGAAGTTTATAAAATAATGAGGAGTACAGGTAGAGTGAATGGTATTTGTCTTTTCCGTAGGATCGGAGATTTCAAGACTAGGGGGCACATTTTTGTAAAATGAGAGGAGAAAGATTTTTAAAAAGACATGAGGGACAAATATTTTGTACAGAGAGTGGTTCATGTGTGGAATGAACTTCCTGAGGAAGTGGTTGATGTGGGTACAGTTACAACATTCAAAAGACATTTGGATAAGTACATGAATAGGTAAGATTTGGAGGGATATGGGCCAGGAGCAGGCAGGAGGGACTAGTTTAGTTTGGGATTATGATCGGCATGGACTGGTTGGACCGAAGGGTCTGTTTCCGTGCTGTATGACTTTATGGCTCTCTCTGTTGAGTGGTGTGCCACAGGGATCAGTGTTCAGGCCTCAAATATTTACAGTATGTGTATAAATGAGAGGACCAAATGACTAGTTAATGTTGGATGATAACACGAAGATAGATATGCAATAAGTTCTGAAAAAGGCATAAGAAATCTCAAAAATGGATAGGTTAAAGGAAGGGGAATAAAGAATTGGCCAATGGAATATAATGTGGGCATTGTGAACTTGCATACTTTCGCAAAAAGAATAGAAAAGCAGTATATTATTTCAGCTACAGAACACTGCTGTGCAGAGGGATCTGAGTATCCTGGTTCATGAATCATAATAAGTTAGTATCAGGTACATCGATGGTTCGGAAGGCAAATAGAATGTTATTTATTGCAAGAATGATAAGAATGGAAGTAGGAAAGGTCTGTGATAATTATTTTTGAACACATCTGGAATTCTGTGTACAGTTTTGATTTGCTTATTTAAGAAAGGGTATCATTAGTAGTTCAGAGAAAATTCACTTTGCTGTGATTTGGGATAGAGTGGTTGTTACTTCATAAGGGAAGGTTGGATGGGTTTAGAACCAGCTGAAGTTTCGAAGAATGAGAGGCAATTTTAGTGAAATGTACAAGATCTGAGGGAATTGACAAGGTGGGTTCTGAAAGTGTGTTTTCCCTTGTGGGAGAGTTGAGACATCAAAGACACATCTTAAAAGTGAGGGGCATCCTATTTAAGATGAAAATTAACAGATTATTTCTGGCAGGAGGACATGAGTCTTTGGAACTCTATTCCCCAGGTGGAGGCGGGGTTATTCAGTATTCTTAAGGCAGAGCTCGATACATTCTTGACCAACAAAGGAGTCAAACTTTATCAGCTGAGAAGTGGATTTAAGGCGCAGGACAGGGAATACTCACTTCTTTACAGTGATACAGTAATGGATGGGCATGCTGTTTCACTGTTTAGCACTCTTATGTGGAAACACATAGATTGGTGCTCAATAACTTGGCAGTTTTTGGGTTTCTTGACATAACATGGCAAAGGAAAGTAGATGAATGGTGATAGCAACCTTTAATAAAGGGAGGATCACCCTTTGCCCAGATATCTGTTTTAACTGTACTTTTTTTTTCTCCTTCTATTCAGTAAGATTGACTCAAGTTCAATCTGAATGTGTTCCTTTGTCTTTCAGCACACTCAACAATAACAACATCAGCATCATCCCATTGACCAGTTTCAACCACATGCCAAAGCTAAGGACTTTGTGAGTATTTGCATTTTGCAACTTTTCAATGACAACATTGCCCTTATGCTCTTCCTATTCATTCATAAGTTGTGAGCATTGCAGACTACTGTATGTTAATTATTCCCTCCCTGTTTTCACTTGGAATAAGTTTTGGTGGGACACCTTCTAGAAACATTGCTGTCCATGAGGTCTAGGTACATCCACAGTGCTGTTACAGGGAGGGAGTGCTGAGACTTTGACCCAGCGACGCTGAAGGAACAACACCATAGTTCCAAGCTAGGATAGTGTGTGTTTTTGTGTGCAATATTCTGGCTCAGGGACCTCCAACACTTGCTGTCTATTATAACATATTTTGCATGAAAATAGAACTTCTTCTGTTGCTCAAGCAGAAATATGAGTAACGACAGAATCCAAAAGAGTTTTCAAAGATAACTATACATCCTATTCAAGCGTAAGAAGCAAAAGAATTGGAGGAAATGAATACCCATTTCAGGGAGACAGCACATGTGGTAAGAGCTGAATGGCTCTCTGTACTGTAGAGTTCTTTAATTCTAATTATAGTCAATAATGTGTATGTGCAGGAGTGCCTCTGTATGCTGAATGCTCAATGTTTACTGTTATGGTTTGGGCTCGTCTCCAAACAGAGCTGAAGCACTTCCTCTAGGTGGCACGGGGGCTCAGTGGCTAGCACTGCTGCCTCACAGGAACCCGGGTTCGATTCCAGCCTCGGGCAAATACCTGTGTGGAGTTCGCACATTCTGCTTTTGTCCTCTGGGTGCTCCGGTTCCCTCCCACAGTCCAAAGATGTGCAGGTTAGGTGGATTGGCCGTGCTAAATTGCCCCATAGTGCCTGGGGTGGGAAGTGCAGGGATAGGGTCAGGGGTGGGTCTGGGTGCGATGCTCTACAGAGGGTTAGTGTGGACTCAGTGGGCCAAATGGCCTGCTTCCACACTGTTGATTCTATGAATAGATTCAAGGAACTGAATGGCCCATTGCCTGTTTCCCTATTGTTACATTAATTGGCAGATCAACAGACAGTTATGGGACAAGAGCCTTCCTGGCTAAAAGAAGTGGGATTTGAATGTATTGCGTTTGACAAAAAGAAAATGTGCATTGGCAATAAATAAGATAGAAATGTCATGTGAGATGAAGGAACAATGACGATTCACAGGCTGCTCGGCTTCGTCCTTGGATTTGAAAACATTAATGTTAGTGCAGCCTAATTTACTTGATTAGGTAGAAGTTTTATTGCTGCTCTACAGTCTGCTGGCTGTTTGCAATCGATCTGGTCCTGCCTGCTATTGATCGCCTCTGGTCAGGTCAACAAAAACCCTTTCTTCCCTGTGTTTTTTTTAAATTTCAGAGGTTGTTTAATGTCTGCACTCTCGAGGGAATGGAGCTGACTAATCTCCTTTCTGTAATTAAATGTGGATAGGAAGGAAATCGTATAAAGGGATTAGAGTGGGCCATTTCAGATTGAATTCCCCGAACATGTTCAGTAGAAAGTGGTGACCTCTGTCTGGAAAGGAGCTTGTTGGAGATTTAATTCAATGCTCTCTCAGTAAAGTCACCACTCTCTGCCCTCTGCTGAATGACTTGACTTTGTATGATCTTTAGTGCTTCTGTTTTCCCTACTTCACTTGTATCACTGATTCATTGTGACTGAGCAGTCTGTTGGGCAGCGCAGAGTTTGTGATGGAAAAAAAAAGTTATCAATAACCACCCAGAGAGCATGCCTCTATTCACTCCTTTGATGCTGTGGATTCAGAGAATCCCTACAGTGTGGAAACAGGCCCTTTGGCCCAACAAGTCCACACTGACCCTCAGAGCATCCCACTCAGACCCATCCCCCAATAACCCACCTAGTCTGCACATCCCTGAACACTATGGGCAATTTAGCATGGCCAATCCACCTAGCCTACACATCTTTGGACTGTGGGAGGAAACCCATGCAGACACGGGGAGAACGTGCAAACTCTACACAGACAGTTGCCCAAGGGTGGAATTGGACCTGCCTCCCTGATGCTGTGAGGCAGCAGAGCTAACCACTGAGCCATCGTGCCACCCATTATTTACCTGTGACATTACTGAGTTGTGTTGCATTTTTACAGTGGGGTTGGCAATGATAGTCATTCTCCTTAAGATTGCCTCTCTTCAACTGAACAAACAACTGACTTTTAGCTTAAGATCCCACTGGTATAGTGGGACCGTATGCAATTAGATGTACAAGGTACAGGAGCATTTACTAGCATGCAAAACCATCCCTGTAATTTTGTCCCGTTTTTTGCATTTTGAATGCCGTTGTTTAATTGATAAATTAGTCAGAGGAGCTAATAGAGCTTTCTAGTTCCATTCATGTGGAAAATGTCTGGGTTAGCTTCAGGTTTTTTAATTGCACTCAACCAGTATTGTATTTCAACAGCTCTATGGGTTAAGGTTAACCCAGCTCTTCATATGACAATACTGCTCATTTGGTCCAGTTAGCAGTCTTTCTCATTGATTATATTTTCCCTAGTACAGTTCCGACCCCTTGCAGCGAGCACATTGGTGGCACCGCACATGGCCTGCGGGGGTGCCTCACAAACTGGATTGATGTAGCCACCGCAGGGATTCAGCAGTCTTTTCAGCACTGCTTGTGGGCTAGGAGGGTCAGGGTGCGATCACTCAGTGACCCCTCACCACAAACTGAACTTCAGTTTATTAGGGTTGTACAGCATGGAAACAGATCCTTCAGTCCAACTCATTCATGCCTGCCGGATGTCCTAAACTAATCTCGCCCCATTTACCAGCATTTGGCCCATATCACTCGAAACCCTTCTTATTCGGATACTCGTCCAGATGCCTTTTAAATGTTATAGTTGTAGCCGTTCCTACCACGTCCTCTGGCAGCTCATTCTCTACATGCACCACTCTCTGTGTGAAAAAGTTACCTCTTATGTCCCTTTTAAATGTTTCCCTCTCACCTTAGACCTATGCCCTCGAGTTTTGGCTGTCCTACCCTAGCGAAAGGCCTTGACTATTCATCCTAATTATGCCCCTCATGATTTTATAAAATTCTATAAGATCACCCCTGAGCCTCCAGTGCTCCAGGAAAAGTAGCCCCAGCCTATTCAGCCTCTTCCCATAGCTCCAACCCTCCAACTCTGGAAACATCTTGTAAATCTTTTCTCAAGTCTCACAACGTCTTTCCTATAGCAGGGAGATCAGAATTGAATGTCGTATTCCAAAAGTGGCCTAACCAATGTCCTGTACGGCCACAACATGACCTCCCAACTCCTATACGCAATGCACTGACCAATAAAGGCAGGAGTACCAAATGCCTTCTTCACTATCCTATCTACCTGCGACTCCACGTTCAAGGAACTATGAACCTGCACTTCCAGGTCTCTTTGTTCCGACTCTCACAATCTGAACTTAATCGTTGTGAAGCAATGCCAACCTGAAGTCTCCTCCTGCAAACCCTACAATCTCTCTCTGCCTTGTTTCCTCCACACCTCCCCATTAAATGGAAAATAGGACCAGGAGTAGTCCATTCGGCCCTCTGAGGCTGCTTCTCCATTCACTATGATTGTGACTGGTTATCCAACTGTGTAACCTGTTCCCACTTTCTCCCCATACCCTTTGATCCCTTAAGCCCTAGGATCTGTATCTAACTCCTTCTTGAAAACAATTGTCTTGGACAGAGAATTCCATAGGCTACAAACTCAATAGGTGAAGATATTTCTCCCTCTCAGTCGTGAATGGCTGACCCTATCTTCTTCAAAAGTGACCCCCTGGTTCTGTCCTCCCTGGTCACTGAGAACACCCTTCCTCCATTTACCCTGTCTAGTCCTATTGGAATTTTATAGGTTTCTATGAGATCCCCCTTTTTTCTTCAAAGCTCCCAGTGAACATTATCCTAACCATGGTATCATGATTCAATGATTAGCACTGCTGCCTCACAGCGCCAGGGACCCGGGTTTGGTTCCAACCTGAGGCAACTGTCTGTGTGGAGTTTATACATTCTCCCTGTGTCTGCGTGGGTTTCCTCCGGGTGCTCTGGTTTCCTCCCACAGTCCAAAGATGTGCAGGTTATAGGTGAATGCTAAATTGCCCATAGTGTTCAGGGATGTGCAGGCTGGGTGGGTTAGACATGGGAAATACAGAGATAGGTTGGGGGCGGGTGGGTCTGCTTGAGATACTATAAGGAAGGTCAGTATTGACTTGATGGGCTGAATGGCCTGCTTCCATACTGTAGGGATTCAATGATTCTGACCAATCCAGCCTGTCTTTGTACATCAGTCCTGCCATCTCAGCAAGGACACTTCAGGTAAGGACCCCAAAACTGTAGGTGTTGTCTCACTGAAGCCCTGTACAATTGCAGCAAGACGATCCCGCTCCTGTGCTCAAAACTTCTCGCTGTATGACAGGAGTACCATTTACCTTCCTCGCTACCTGCTGCACCTACACTACTTTCAGTGACTGGTGTACAAGGACACCCGGGTCTCATTGCACCTCCCCCTTTCAAACTTCACCAAAATACCAGAAACCAAAGTACAACATTTTCATAATTCCAAAGAGGCGACAACATTCATTTAGGCGCAACATTTTCTCTTTGTCCAGCCTTCAAAAAGAGCTCATAACATATGAAAATAACCAGCTATACTGAAAGTGGAGTGAAACAAAACGTTTCTCTTAATTTGCAGTCATAACTAACCTTCCGTTAGGTGTATTGCAGGCAGTGTACATGAAAGCATGGTTCACAGCGGCACATTTAAAACAAAACATTTGTAAAGAAAGCTCGCATGAGCAAACAAGAATGACTTTCTTCCTAGATAATCCAGGATATGATGTGCTGGAAAAATATTTATAATATATAGTACCTTATTTGAAATATATCTTTGCAAATTTTTTAGTTCAGACGTAGTTCTGTCCATAAAAACAAATAAAATTACTATAGGCATTGTAGATATTTTAAATATGAAAATCAATTTGTTCTAAATATGTCCAGCACAAAGCAGGCTGTTCTGAAGAAGTTG